TTATGTGTATGAGTGTATTGCCTGCATGTGTGTGAGTGCACCCGTATCGTGCAGTGCCATGGAGGTCAGAAGAGGGCTTCAGATTCTCCTGGAACTGGAGTTAAGAACAGCTCGTAGCTGCCATGTGGGTGCTGGGAATTGAACCTGGGTCCTCTGCAAGAGCAGTCAGCGCTCTTAACTGCTGAGCCATCTTTCTAGCCCCTATTTATTTTTATTTTATGTGTATGCATGTTGCCTGCATGTAGGTAAGTGCACCTGTGTCATGCAATGCCCATAGAGGACAGAAGATCTCCTGGAACTGGAGTTAAGAACAGCTCGTAGCTGCCATGTGGGTGCTGGGAATTGACACCTGGGTCCTCTGCAAGAGCAGTCAGCGCTCTTAACTGCTGAGCCATCTCTCCAGACCCCAAACAGCACTTTTAAGAGAATATGCCTTGGAGCTTCATGACATTCATGGTGTGATTGTTGGGTATAGCACCAGGCACCCAAGTAGCAAAAGCAGAATTAGACAAATGAAACCGCATCTAACTCAAAACCTCACAGCAAAGCAGCAACTGAAAGAACAAAAAGCCAGCCTGTGGGGTGAAGAAAATGTCTGCAAGCCATGTGTATCTTATACGAAGTTTATCTTAGTCTGCTTAGGCTACCGTAACAAAACACTTTTGAGGACTGGTGAGTCGGCTCGGTGGGTTAAAGGTGCTTGCTGTCAAGCTGACAACTTGAGTTCAATCTCACATGGTGGAAGGAGAGAACTAACTCTTGCAAAATACCTTTGAGTAGCTTATAAATAATAGGAATTTATTTCTCAGAGTTCTGGAGGCTGAAGAGGCCAAGGTCAAGGTGCTAGCAGATTTTACCCCCCCACACACTAAACTTTTTCCTTTTTAATTTGTGGTGCTGGGCATCCAACCCAAGGCCTAGTACATGCTAGGCAAGCATTCTACCACTAATTCTCCAGCCTGGTCTTATATCATTTGAGGGCCCATTCTTCATAGATGGCATATCTCTGTTCTCTCTGTGCCCTCACATAGTAGAAAGAGCTAGTAGCTCTCTCATGCTCTTTTTAAAAGAGCACTGTTCATCACGTGGGCAACTCCCCACCCAAAATGACCCATCTCTTAATCTATTGCCTTAGCTAGGGAACAATTCAGTATGTGAATTTGGGAGGTATAGAGTCAGACTATAGGAGAGTTAA